GGGCGCGGAATTGGGGATCCCCGTGCACCCCCAGCCGGGGCCCCTACAGCCCGCCTTCCTCAGATCCCTGGGCCCCGCGACTTCAAACGCGGCTTCCTCGCTTCCCAGACCTGCCCCCGCTACTGAGCATGCCCAGTCCTGCCCGCCACCGCCACAGCCGCCGACGAGTTTCAACATGGGGACTGAAGTTCTCCGGGTTTGCAAAGAGATGGGCGGGTTGGCCTTTGTGTGGCAGAACGAGCCGAGAGGGGACTGGGCGAGGCGGGCGCAGGAGAAGCGAGCAGCTTCCGTAGGAATGCAAGGGGAAAGACGACAAATATTTGTTGAGGTTTCAGGTTTGCTAATCCTGTCCCCAGTGGGTTAGATACCTTTGCAAGGTCATTCACGTTGTTCCCTCCTCCCTCAAACCTTTTTGACTGTGCGTGTGTTTGATTAAGTGACCTAACGACTCACAGGCCTGAGGGGAGGGAGGAGAACGATTATTTTTAGAAAGGTAGGCTGATTTGGAGAGAGAGAGGAGTGAAATTTCTTTGCTGGCACAAACACAAATACCATGTGGTCTTGTGGAGTTGTCTTTTGCAGGGAGGAAACCTAGGAATACAGTGTAAGGACAGTGAAGGACACAGCTGTAGACAGGATTAAACGGTGCTGGAAGAGACGAAGTAAACAGAAGCAGTCCCAAGCTATAAAAAGCACTTTCCTCCCTCAGAAAGGACTTTAAGAGACAATGTCATGCTATTTATAAAGAGTTGCCTGTGTTTTAAGAAGGTAGGGCAACATCAGCATCGCATGGTGGTCGACACCATAAACTTTGGAGTCAAAACCGGGTTCAAATTTCAATTTAGCCACTGAGCAAATTCCGAGACAGTCATTGTTCAATTCAAGTTAATGCACCTGGCCATAGGAAACAAGATTGGCATGCTCAGTAGGTGGGACAAATCTGGGCGGTGAGGACCTTCCCCAAATTGTGTAATCCCTTGAGGCCTCAGCTTTTGACTCTACCTGAAAGTACCCGGTACAACCCTGGCTCAGAAAGAGTTTTTATCCTTATTACATTGTTATAACTATTTCAACCTTCATTTCAAATCAGGAGCAAACTATGCTCAAAGCCATACTTATTGATTTTTGTGGATGTGATGTTCTCCATCATTTGTACTTAATCTAGGGAGAAGTCAGAGGCCTCCGTGCATTCAGCAGCAGCTGGGACCTGTGGCTCAGATTGGCAATGCCCTCCAGCAGAGCCTTACCTAGAATCAGAGATTTAGAACCAGTGGCCATGTGAGAGCTCTGATCCATCAACTTTTTTTTTTTTTTTGCAGCCACAGAGTGATGGCTAAGGTTATTAAGAGCAAAACTGAGGCTAAACTCTAAAGTTTCTAACTATCTCTGCTTCCCTAACCTTATCATATTTGAAGAAATAGAGAAAAAAACTAGGTGATCTGGCCCCTTGCTGCCTCATCTTAGGCTCCCTGTGCTTCCCTCTACAAAGCAGGCTTTCAGCTCCCCAAACAAATGGTTATCTCTTTGTATTGGCTGTTTGCATTACCTGAAATTCTCTTCCCCCAGACCTCTTTGTCTACTAGATTCCAATTCAATCCTCAGATCTCCAGTTCAATCTCTTAATAGAGAAAATTTCCCTGACCTTAGGACTAGGTTAGGTCCCCTGCTCCCTACCCTTTACCTTCCTGACTCTATCAGTTTTAACTCTACAATGGAGATACTAGAAAGAACATCACTGAGTTGTTATGATGAATAAATGAATATATAAGTAAAGTGCCCAGTACATCATAAGTACTATGAAAAAGTTAGATATTATTTGATTGTCCATCTTCCTTCACTACACTGTAAGGCAGATGACTTCTGTTCATCATTATATCCCTAGGAAGCTCTTGGTAATTATTTGTAACTGAATAAATGACTTCGGTGATATTTCACCCAGGGTGTCTGTTTCTACTGTAAATTTGCTTTAAAAAGAAAAACAAAAACAAAAACATTGCTACTCTTAAACATTCAAATATATAGTTTTTAAATTCCTGTATAATTTAAGCCCAATAGTTTAGGTGGCAATATACATCAGAGATGCAAATAGAAGCTTTAGCAATGCAGAATCTCCAAGGACACAGTCTCTTCAACTTCATTCCCAGACATGGTGAGGAAGGCCTGAGCCAGGTGGCTCAGATCCAGGCAGGGCAAAAGTAGTGGTACTGGGGACAGAACGTCCTCCACCTGCTTCCTTTCTCCCGCTCTTGTCAGAATGGATCAGTTACACCCCCTGCATGTGGTAGGCAGGAGCCCGGTGGCATCTCACAGGTCGTTGGGGGGAGGGGGTGTTGGAGGTATAACTGAGGCATGAGCTATCATGTGCTCTAGCAGGGGCATGGAACAAATGTTTGGAAGAGCACGAGTGTGGAAGGAACCCACAAGCCACTCCTCTCCTTCTGTTCATTCATTTATTTGCAGTTATTTATTAAGTGTGTATTATGTTGCTATGGGGGTTCAGAACAAACCACCCCAAGATATGCCTCAGTAGTATGCAGATTACTTTGAGCTAAAGGTAATTTTAGCTTCTGGTTCAAGAGAAACTTTGGCCCCTCCGAAGTTTCTACTATCTATAAGGCAGGGAGAACTTCTGTGTATTAAACCTCTGTTCTTATCATTCTGCAATGACCCTTTGAAGCCCCCAACGTGCATTAGCTCATCCCCAGCTCAGGATATCTTATGTACCTCAATCCGCCTTTCTATCTTCAAACTCCTCCTGCATGCGGGGTCTCTGACTCTCTCATGTATGTGGAATTTTGTACATATGTATGTATTAAATTTTTTTTTCTCTCTCTTGCTAATCTGTCTCATGTTGATTTGATTATTAGAACATTGAGGGTAGAGGAAAGTTTGTTCCTCTCCACACTGCAGACCCTGACACAGATGCTGGGAATACAAAGATAAAATAGATGCCTTCACTGCCTTCTAGGGCCTTATAATTCATCAAGAGAGAAGTAAGGATAACCCAGTGGGTTTTTCCTTTTTAACTTTTTTGTTGAAAATAATATACATACAGAAATGTGTGTGTATATATATATATACGTATATATATATACACACACATTTCTGTATGTATATTATTTTCAACAAAAAAGTTAAAAAGGAAAAACACACACACACACACACACACACACACACACATACATATATATCCTAAGGGTAGAGCTTGATGAGTTTTGCACAAATGAACACCTCGTGTAACCAACACCTGATAGAGAAATAGAACATTACCTAGATTTTTACAGAGCAGATTCTGGGGCCAGGTCCATAGACTAATTGAGTACGTTTAAAACACAGGTGTCTGCCTGATGATGATGATAAATATATTTTAAATTAAATAAAACAGTAACAATTTTAAAAATAGGATTATAATGCACATTGTCTTTGCTTAGAGAAACAACAAAACAAAGTATGTCACCTATGCTGTATGGATGGAAGAGGCTGTGTAATGAATTTAACCAAAAGTAACCTCACAGGGTGATCTGATCATAAATTCCTAATTGGGTGGTCTTGGTGGGTAGTCAAGCCCCAGGCCTATAAAGGTTTCACCTTCACTTTGAGCAAGCCCTATCTAACATACCTATCTAACATACCTAACATATCTAAAATGCCTCTTTTTCAGATGCTTCCAAGGCATAAGGACCCTCTAGAGAACGCATGATCTTGTTAACTATCCTGTACCTTGTTCTCTCCCATCTTCATGTAACCTTCTTATATTCCCTCCCTAATTCCAAATGTATAAAAGAAACTGCAAAACTCATTCTCCAGAGCATCTGAGATCTTGCTTCCTGGCATGTTGTCAGTTTGGCTCAAATAAACTTATAAAAATTCTCTACACATTTGGATGTTTCTTATATCAACAGAGCTAACTCTGGAGGACTCCAGAGTGAGCAATGATCGAGTAGGGGAAGATAGAGGAGGGAGGTGGTGCTGAGATAGATGTTAAAACAGGCTTCAGGGAAGAAATGGCTCTTAAACTGAATTTTCAATAATAATGAGATTTCTTCAGAGAAGGAAATTCATTCAGAATTGGAGGGAGTGGAGAATCTGCAGATGGGTTTGAACCCTTCTGGAATGTTTGGGAAACTGCCAGTAGTTCAACAAGGCTAAAGGATGGCCAATGAAGGGAGGAGGTAAGCAATGATCCAAATCTCAGATGGCTTTCTGCACCATTGGAAAGAGTTTAGA